GAGTCCGAGCCAGAGCCTTGCAGCGGCCGAGGGAGGAGGAGGAGGAGGAGGAAGAGCAGAGCAGGTGGGGATCGATTGATCAGGATGGATTGGTGGGACAGGGGGAGGGAGGATTGATTGATTGATTGATTGATTGATTGATTGATTGATTGATTGATTGATCAAAAGATTGATTAATTGAGGAAGGGATGGGGGGGAGATGAGCAAGAAATAATCAATATTGATTGATTGATCAATAGAGTGAGATTGACAGGGTGAGAATTGGATTGATGAAGAGATCGTAGATCAATATATTGATAGATCAAAGAGACATTGATAGACTGATCAATAGATCAATAGAGATTGATAGAGAGCAGATTGATCAATCAGACTGATAGATCATTAACACATCAGTTGATTCATCTGATAGACCAATAAACTGATTGATTGATTGATTGATTGATTGGTTGAACAATCAAAAGGTGATCAATAGAGGGTCCTGGGTGGTGTTAGCCGCTGCCATGGCTGAGCTGGCGACCACCCCCCGTCCTCCATCTGCCCTTGGCCACTCCGTGTCCTTCCTCCAGCCCTGAGTCCAACCTTTATTCCCCTCCCTCTGCCCCTTGGTCATCCTTCCACTGACCACCCAGACCACCCCTGACCATCCCTGACCACCCCAGACCACCCAGACCATCCCTGACCATCCCAGACCACCCAGACCATCCAGACCACCCAGACCACCCTGACCACCCCTGACCTCTCCTGTCCATCCTCTGTCCATCCACTGACCCCCCTGTGGCCATTCCTTGACCTCCCCCCCTCTCTCCCCCCCCAGCTGACCAGGGCCGTGTCCAGCTCCGTCCCCTCTCCGGCCATGTCCTTCGTGGAGCTGCTGGCCCGCCTGGGGGGCATGGGCCGTTTCCAGGTGACCTACGTGGCCGCGCTGGCCATTCCCCTGCTCATGCTGGCCAGCCACAACCTCCTGCAGAACTTCACGGCCGGTGTCCCCGAGCACCACTGCCGGCCCCGGCCCGTGGCCAACGCCAGCACGGCCACCGTGCCCTTGGCCGTGTCCATCCCCTGGGAGGGGCAGCTCCGGCCCCAGCGCTGCCGGCGCTTCCTGGAGCCCCAGTGGCACCTCCTGGCCACCAACGGCTCGGCCAACGGCACGGCCGGCGAGGCGGCCACCGAGCCGTGCCACGACGGCTGGACCTACCTGGATGGCATCTTCAGGGACACCATCGTCACCGAGGTGAGGCGGGGGACACCTCAGGGGTGGGGGGGGATCCCAGTGACCCTGTGGTGTCCCTGTGGTGACCCCGTGCTGACCCCGTGTCCCCTCCCCCGGCAGTGGGACCTGGTGTGTGACTCGCAGAAGCTGAGGCAGGTGGCCCAGTCCATCTACATGGCCGGGATCCTGCTGGGCTCCAGCCTCTTCGGGGTCCTGTCCGACAAGTGCGTGGACTGGGAGGGACTGGGAGGGACTGGGAGGAGGCGCCGTGTTCTCTGCTCCTTCTGGCCCTGCTGTCCCAGTGTCCCCAGTCCCAGCAGGGCTTGTCCTCCTCTGTCTCCAAGTCACTCCCACTGTTCCCAGTTTTCCCAGTGTCAGTATTCTTCATCCCAGTGTTTCCAGTGCCTTGTGTGCCCATCCCAGTGCCCAGTGGCCTCCAGCACCCCGTCCCCCTTCCCAGTACCCACATCCCCATCCCAGTATCTCCAGAATCCAACATTCTCCCATCCCAGTGCGTCCCAGTGTTCCCCATATTCCCCATACCGGTGCTCCCAGTGCTCCCAGTGCTCCTGATGTTCCCAATGTTCCCAATGCTCCCGATGTTCCCAGCGCTCCCAGTGCCGTGTTCCCACAGGTTCGGGCGCCGGGCCCTGCTCACCTGGTGTTACCTGCAGCTGGGGGCGATGGGGGTGGGCACGGCCGCCGCCCCCTCGCTCCTGGTTTACTGCGTGTGCCGCTTCCTGACCGGGCTGGCCATGGCCGGGGTGTCCCTCAACTCCGCCTCGCTCTGTGAGACCCCGGGGGAAGGAACCCCAAACTCAGGGAGGGACCCCCGACCCGGGGAGGAATCCCCCCATACCCAGGGAGGGACCCCAAACAAGGGAGGGACCCACACATCCACCCCAAACCCCAGTGACCCCCACGGGGACCCCACCCCAGCCCCAGTGACCCCCACGGGGACCCCACCCCGCTGCCCCCCCCGGCACAGCCCTGACGCCTCGGTGTCCCTCAGGCATGGAGTGGATCCCGACCGAGGCCCGGGCCGTGGTGGGCACCATCAATGGCTACTGCTACACCCTGGGCCAGTTCGTGCTGGCGGCCGCGGCCTTCGGGCTCCCGCACTGGCGGCAGCTGCAGCTCGCCGTGTCCCTGCCCTTCTTCGTCTTCTTCTTCTACTCCTGGTACGGGAGTACCCCTGTGCCCACCCCTGTGCCCACCCTGTGCCCACCCTGTGTCCACCCTGTGTCCACCCCTGTGCCCACCCTGTGCCCACCCTGTGCCCACCCTGTGTCCACCCCGTGCCCACCCCGGTGTCCACCTCGGCAGTGGGAGGTGTTGGGACCCCCTGACCCCCCAGTTTGGGATCCTTTGGAGCAGTGGGATGCCGGGAGGGGGTTCAGGAGCCCCCAGTGTCACCTGTCCCTGTCCCCCCTCCCTAGGCTGTACGTGGAGTCCGCGCGCTGGCAGGTGACCTCGGGCAGACCCGACCTGGCCCTGCGGGGGCTCCGCAAAGTCGCGCGGGTCAACGGCAGGAAGGAGGAGGGGGACAAACTCAGTGAGGAGGTGGGGAGGGGTTTGGGGGTCTCCCACATCCCTCTGAACCCCCAAATCCCCTTAATCTGCCCCCCTAACCCGGTACCTTCCCCTCTATCCCTGACCAGCCTCGGTCGTGGCAGATCCCCCAAATCCTCCCGTTCTCCCATCGATCCCTCTCGCCATTCCCTCCCTCCTCGGCCTCAATCCCCCCAGATCCCCGTGACTCCCCCCAGACCCCTCGGATCACTCCTGGATCCCCCCCCCCAGACCTCCCCGAGTCCTCCGGATCCCCCTCCCCATCCCCTCTGCGCCCTCCCCGGGGCGGATCCCGCACATCCCGGGGGTCCCGAAGGTCCCGGGGGTCTCTCTCAGGTGTTCCCGGGGCTCTCTGCAGGTGCTGCGGGCTCTGGTGCGCCGGGAGCCGCCGCTGCCGGGCGGGGCCGTGGCCGCGCTCGTCCGGACCCCCGGCATGAGGACGGTGTCGTGCGGGGTCTCCTTCGTCTGGTGCGTCCCTGCAAAAAACAGCTTTTTTTGGGGAAAAAAAAATTAAAAATCACTATTTGGGGAAACCCCCCACATTTCGGGGAATATAACCCATATTTGGGCCCAAAAATCAGCTTTTAAGGGAAAAAGATTCCCCCACCTTTTGGGGCAAATCCCCATTTTTTGGGGAAACTCCTTCACTTGTTAAGAAAAAAGTATTTTGGGGAAAAAATACGTTTGGGGGAAAAAAGTCCTCATCATTTTTGGGAAGAAACTTCATCTTTTGGGCAAGAAACAGCTTTGGGGGAAACAACCCACTTCTCTGGGGAGGAGGAAACAGCTTTTGGGGTAAAATCTCCCATCTTTTTGGGAGGAAAAATCCACTTTGTGGGACAAACGCACAATTTTTGGGGCAAAAAAAAAAAATCATCTTTTGGGACCACCCCCCCTACCCCCCCCACCCCTTTTTTCAGGGCTCCAAATTTTGGGACAAGCTCCATTTTTTGGAGTCCCAGCCCCCATTTTGGGTGGTTTTGGTGCTGATCTGTTGAGTTTTGGTGCAGGTTCTCCACCAGCTTCGCCTATTATGGGCTGGCCATGGACCTGCAGGGCTTTGGGTTCAACGTTTACCTGAGCCAGCTGGTGTTTGGGGCCGTGGACATCCCAGCCAAGCTCCTGTCCGTGCTCGTCATCTCCTGCCTGGGCCGGCGCGTGGCCCAGGGCGGGTCCCTGGCACTCGCCGGGCTCTGCATCCTCGCCAACATCTTCGTGCCCAGCGGTGGGAGGGGGAACAGGGGATGGGGATGGAGGGAGGGATGGATGGAGAACAATGAGGTGGAGGAAAATGGGTTGGAGGACAAAGGGATGGAGGGATGGACGATGGAGGGCAAAGAGGTGGAGTGGGGAGGGAGATGGATGGAGGATGGAGGATGGAGGGAGGATGGAGGGATGGATGACAATGGCATGGAGGGATGATGAAGGACCATCATTGGCTGGGTGAGGGGTCATTAGGGGGCCACAGGGTCCCTGTGGGATGGGGATGACCCCAGGTGGCCCCACGGAGGCGCCATGGGCGGGGGGTGACGCTGTGGCCCCCCCAGAGCTGCCGGCGCTGCGCATGGCCTTCGCCGTCATCGGCAAGGGCGCCTTGGCCGCCTCCTTCAACTGCGCCTACATCTTCTCTGGGGAGCTCTTCCCCACCGTCATCAGGTGGGTGTGGCCAGCACAGCCCCGCCCTCACCCAGCCAGCACCATCCAATCACCGTCCAATCACTGTCCAGCACCATCCAATCACTGCCCAGCACCGTCCAATCACCGTCCAATCACTGTCCATCACTGTCCAATCACTGTCCATCACTGTCCAATCACTGTCCAGTCACTGTCCAGCACCATCCAATCACTGTCCAATCACCGTCCACGTGCCAACCCAACCCTCGTTACCCCAACCCTCATTAACCCAACCCTCGTTAACCAAACTCTCATTACCCCACCCCTCGTTACCCCAGTCCCCGTTAACCCGGCTCTCGTTACCCCACCCAGGCAGACGGGGATGGGCCTGGGGGGCACCATGGCCCGCGTGGGGGGGATGGTTGCCCCCCTGGTCCGGCTCACGGCCGAAGTGACCCCGGTGCTGCCGCTCGTCATCTACGGCGCCGCCCCGATCGTCTCGGCCATCGCCACGGCCTTCCTGCCCGAGACCCGCAACGCCGCGCTACCCGAGACCGTCCAGGACGTCGAGCGGCGGTGAGGGACCCCCAGAGACCCCCAGAGACCCCCCGGGACCCCATGGGACCCCCAGAGACCCCATGGGACCCCCAGAGAACCCCCGGGACCCCTCCAGAGACCCCTGGGACCCCCGGTACCCCCAGAGACCCCCAGGGACGCCCGAGACCCTCAGAAACCACTCAGAACCCACTGAGCCCCCTGGGACCACCCAGAACTCCCCAGGACCCCCAGAACTCCCCGGGACTGCCCAGAACACCACGGGGACCCCCTGAACCCCCCCCAACCCACCCTGAGAGCCCCTTGAGCCCCCCGGGACTGCCCAGGGACCCCTCTGAGCCCCCAGGACCCCCCAGGACCCCCTAACCCTGCCCTGGGGGGATTATTCCCATCTTGGGCTGGGACGTTTTGGAGGAACCCCGGAGCTTTGGGGTCAAAAAGGGATGAAAAAAGTTTTGGGGTTGGGTTGGAGGTTTGGGATGAAGGTTTGGGGTTGGGTTGGACGTTTTGGGGTCAGGAAGATTTGAGAGTTTTGGGAAGACCTGAACATTTTCGGGGAGAAAGTTGAAGCTTTTGGGAAGGGTTGAAGGTGGTGGGATGGGGAAGGATGAAAATTTGGGGAGTTCTGGGGAGAGACTGGGAGGTTTTGGGGTCCCTGCAGGGCGGGGCACGTCCAGGACGACGATGTCGCCGTCCCCCTGAGCAGCACCAAGAGCAAGGACAGCGCCTGAGGGGGGGGTTGGGACCTCCCGGGGGGAATTTTGGGGCCGGGACCCCCCCCCTAAAGCCCCCTTCCCCAGCCCCTCCCCTCAGATTCAATTATTTATTGAATCCCAATGAATGAATAAATAAATAAATAAATGCAGTTATTTATTGAATCCAAATAAGTAAATAAATAAGTTCAATTATTTATTGCATCCCAATAAAATCTCGTGGGAATTTCGGGATCTCGCTGCCGTTCTGGGGGGGGCTGGAGGGTCTGGGGGTGTCCCCACCCCCCCCCCCAAAAAAAAAGGGCTCAGACATTGGGGGATCCCCCCCGGAGCTCGTTAACGAGTGTTAATTGGAATTCCCAGAGCTCGTTGACCT